TTTTCATGCTTTAGAATTTTATAATTATATTTTGGTGAGCGCTATTATTATCAATAATTATGATGAAGTAAGAAATTTTGATAATGTCATTATGTTGAAAGGTTCAATAGGTACCTTGAGTTCATTTAAAATTAAATTTGCTTGAAATTTTCAATTACATTAATGAATACATCAATGTATATATTTCAGATAGAGTTTACTCATCCATTACTCAAGTTAGTTGATAATTAAATCACTTTTTGATAGAAAGTATTTCATTTAATAATAATAACTATTATCAATATAGTAAAATAAAACAATTTTTAAATTCATCAAATTTAATACAAAAATAATATCAAAATTATTGGTTGATAAATTTTTTACACAGACTGAATTTAAATATTCTTTTTATCTAAATTTTACACTCACTGGTTTCAACTATGGTTAAAATATTCATCATAAAACATACCATCGTTTAAAAATGAATTTCACTTGAAAAAAGAAATTGTTAAATTTAATTCGGCCTTCAAAGGATAATAACAACCTTGTAGGGCACGTGGACTGATACCAGTACAAAAAAAGAAGGAATCTTCACGTCAGTATGATTTGGAAATAGAAACCATTTTCTTGAGATTCCCTGCAATCATTCACGGTTCGTTCGTCCTGACAGCATTTGCGTGGCTTCACGGACCTGTTTTCTTTCCGGCTGAAATACTGTAAGGAGCACCTTGGAAATAAAAAAGAGCAAATGTGGTAGATGAATTCTCACTAGCTACGTAAGGTCAAATCAAGAAGATGCTTCCTGGATTTACCCAGCCACAGGCATCCTTCTTCTTCTTATAGAATTACCCATCACCAACAACAATCTTGAGCAATTCTTAGCAATTCAATGACGTTCTTTGACCTCTTCATCACTTTTTAACTCATATATTATATCAAGTGTGTAGGTGGTAATTAAAAAATCATCAGACTTTGTATAAGTTCATTCACCTTATCATCATTATACTGTTAAATTTATTGTCTAGAGTTTCAGGTGTTTAAAGTGAGAGATATTTTTATTATTATACGTGTCGAAAATATATACTCGAGATAAAAATTTCAAAAGAAATTACCCTGTTTGTTCACAAACGACTTCACCCAAAGTAAACTCCAAGTATTTTTGTGTGTTTCCGTTTGAACGACTCAAGTTTAAATTGATCAGACATTTTTTCCTTTATATTTCAGACTTTGTTCAAGATGGCAATAGGAATGAAAATTTTTACGTGATTGTATTTTGTAATTTCTCTAATAATCAAAAACAATTTTTTTTTCTACCGAATTCAATAGAAAATTTATTTTAAACGAAAATAATTTTTTATCGATTGACCGAACGTAAGGTTAAATTTTTAATGATCACTTATTATTTATCATCATTCAATGTACTTGAATACTATTGAATTTATTTTTATAAAAAAATATATTTATGAGCCATCAAAAAAATTTTAAACTGCTTTAAAACTTCATGCATAAATAAACTGATCTCTTCAACCGAAAAAATAAGACGTAATTCATGATACAAATAATTTAAAATCCCTACATAAACTAAAAAATTTAATTCTTGTTCAAAATCATTGAAAAAAAAAAAAAATTCACCAAAAAATACTGAGAAGCATGAATGTTCTTCACCATAAAAAAGTTCCTCAGTAAATATTAGCAGGTTTAAGCTCCTCTTCCACATCCACACACCACACATAAAGCAGAAAAAAAATAAAAAGTTTAAAGTGATTCTTGGTTTAAAAAAGAGGGTACAAGATAGTCGAGGGAATTCTTTTTCTCGATTGAGAAGTTTAAGATAAAAAGAAGAAAGGAAAAAGTTCGACGAACGATAGGACATAATTCAGATAGTGAAAGAATGAGTAAAGGTAAAAGGTACATAGGTACTAGTAGCCCTAGGACATATGCAAGTTATTCCTTCATATGTGAGGATAAAAGACATAGCTCCTACTACCGTTAACTTGGGATAATAATTATTGAGCCGCACCTGCTTGCTTTACATAACGGATTATATCCGTTGCGAGGGTTATGGACCGTGTTATATACGTATTGAATTCGATAATCAAATATTTTTATAATTATCAGTACTTATCCGATACTTCTTTTATCTCTTAAATGTACGACTACGAGAAATGATTCACTCGAACACCTTGACTGATTATTAAAAAAGAGATACAATGGTGGAAAATAGTCAGTAAATTAGATGGGAAAATAGGCTGCTTAGATAAGAGATAAATACTTGAGATAAAAACTGGTTGATTATGAGAATACTAGTGAGTTGTACGTTAACATTACGTCATTTACTTATTTATTGGACATAAAATCCTCATTGCAACTGAGTCTTTTCTTTTTTGACCAAACACTTCAAGGCTCTTCATCATATTAAAATTAAATGAATATAATAAATATGGCTTTTGTATCGAGAAATAAAGAAAAAGCCATTCTTTATGGCTAATAAACATTATTTATTGTTGGTAAATGGGGTAATTCTAATTTATAATTATTCATTTATCTTCTGTTTATGAAGACGTTATTTAGTCACAGCTAACTGAATAAATATTTAAGTACATTGATAATGATAAAGTCAATTTTCTTTAGTTATTATTTTAATTAATTATTACTTACAAATATTTTTACTCCAAAATGAAAATTATCAATCAAGCTAATTATTGTAATTTTATTATTTAAAATCATTTAACAAGTTCAATTAAAAATGATTTTTTTCATTTTATTCAATCAAAGTGTTCTTTAGCTTGAGAATAGTATAAAAAAAGGTGGATTTAAAAGGCACATTTCAGTACTTATAATGAAAAAAAAAATTCAAGAACTAAAGAACAGTCGAGGTCTCTCAAGTGCCTAAAGCTTTTCCTCTACCATCGATTTTTCCCTGTTCTTTGAAAAAGACTTTGTCGCGAATTGCAATTAGAGTCAAGTTGTCAACAACTGTAAGGTTTTTCCTGATTCTTCGTGGTGCAGTTAAAGGACCTGCAAATGCTGCAAGTGATAGGTTGTGAAGATTTTACAAATCAATTAGAGTCTCCTCGAGAATAAGAGAGTGCATTGCACTTGGGAAATATTTGTCTTTATCATTATTATTTCCGTTGGTGGGCATAATACCTTGAGAAAAGGGTATGGGAATATTTTTTTTTATCTCAACAAAGTGTCTTTGACTTTCTTATTTTAGTAACCCCAAAGAGTCATTTATATATTGAACGAGATATATAAACTTAATAAGAATAAGATAGAAGTGTGGACAGTTCCGTTACTGCCTGAAGGCTGCATTCGTTTACCTGCAGTATCGAGGAATGCGGAATATTATTATCTTTAGTTGAAAATACTTTTACCTTGACCGAGACTGTCAAACGAGTCCTCACAAAGTGCTTTTCAAGTCATAAACAGTAAATAAGTAATTATAGTTTATTTCAATAAACATACTTTGAAAAAAAACTATTTTAAAAAAAAACCTATCATCATCATAAATTAAAATTAAATTGTAATAAATTGTTTTTGTGTTATTAATTAAATATCTTATTATTCACAATTTAATAATTTTACAATCAAACACTAAAGTTTCTTAAGAATTGTAAACTTTATTTTTAACAAAAATGAAATTAATTAATATTAAATTAATACACTTTAAATTATAAACACAATGTATTTTGAATTATTTATAAAATAGAAACAAAGAAGAAATTGGAAAAGAAAAAAAGCTGTCCAATTGTTATTTTGAGATATAATTCACAACAGCAAAACTAATTAGAAACAATATTACTTTATGATGAAGTAAATTAAATTATGAACAAAGATTCAAGAACTTTGACTGTTTCAAATTGATGTAATAAATGATAAGTAACAATAAAATGGTTAGTTAATTAAATAAAAGCATTCTGTTGAAAGATTTGATATTCAAGTTTTGATTTTAATAATTAATTAAATCTTCAAGTTTCCTTTTTATTAATTAATTAAAGTTACTCGAATTCATCAAACAAAAGCAATACCCTTTCATTTGATGACTAACTTTTCTACAGATAGGATGTAAATATTTTTATTAGTACTGAAGAATTTTTAATTAAAAAATACTTATTACATTTTTTTCAATAAAATTGGAAACTTTTTTAATTTACTTGGAAGTTCCGGATAATTGATTTTATGTTGTTATGTGAATAAAAAATTGACTATCATTAATTACTGATGTTTGCAAAAAGTATTTTTGTTGTAAAAATAAATTAACGGAATGTTTTATTATCCAAGTTTAAATAAATAATTAATTAATGAAGCTAATAATACTTGGTTAACGTATCGTGTATCCAAGTTCCAATCTCTAGTTCATTTAGCTTCCAATTTAATTAACTAGAAGTGGTACAGTTCATCCATGACCAGATAAATCACTTACATTCGAACTAAACAATGACAATAATTCACTTCAATCTTCCGTATATTGTTATCTACTGGTTTTCGTTGAGAAAAATATCTCTCAAAGTGGTATTATTCGATTTTGTTCCGACATTCTGCTAACATTGTTTACATTTTTACACATAATCCAATTTTTTTCAAATTATTTATTTAAACAAAGTACACTTATTTAAAGAAAAAATAAAATCTTAATGAAATATACTTCATGAAAGTAAAATAAATTAATTAATATATTAATTCAAAATAAATTAATAATAAATATGAATAATATCTCATAATTAATAGGAACGTCTATCAAAAACTTTTTTCCAGACAAATTTATCAGGAATATAATTTAAAAAAATTCCAACGAGAAAATGGATTAGTTTTCTCACATGGAACAAAAAATCTATCATCATACTAATATATTAAAAATTTTTTATTTTGATGTGTTAATTAATAGCCGTAGCAACTTAGGAAATATTTCAGTTCTACATTCCATCAGAATTGATTCAAGAATAAAATGGAATAATTTCCTTAATCCCTAGCCATATTAAACACCTTGAGGCCTTCATTAATCTTATCTTTTATTTCAGAATACGGAAGATGATGAAGAGTGCCGGGCTTCACCGGCCCGGAGTAATCTTGTGGCTGCTGGTGCTTTGTATTCTCCATTCCACGCACTCCGGTGAGTTAAAGAGTCAATTACCAGTGATTACTTATTGATTATTATAAATAACATCGAATATCTTTTCCAAGAATCTTTAAGAAGAGTGAACGAGTGTTTGATCCTTTCTTACAATGCCCATAATGGGTGCGTCTAGTGCCCTATCCATTGGGAGGCTTTTCTCATGGACCTTTTCTCTTTCTTCTCATTTTCTCTACATGTCCTTCTTGTATGGTTTATCACTAACAGCTTCTCCCGCGGACCTTCTCGTTTTGCTTCTTAGTCGTATACACACAAGTATCGTTCTACTGGCAACTTGGAACTTCCGTTTAAGTCTAGCCGGTTTTCTCCACCAAGGTTAAGGACCCGCTGATGGGGGACTGCAGTTTCTTTAACTCGTTGATAAATTTTTAATCTTCAAATCAAGTATCCAAGGATCATGAATCACTTGGCTAAGTGATTTCAGATATAAATCGAAAATATTTCGTTATTTATGGCTTCAGTATCGTGATAAAAAATTAGCTTCCAATCGAAAAGCTATCACAACAAGGACAAAAATACTTTGCTATTAATTAAATGAATAATTTACATTAATGATTATGTTTAATAAAATTGAAATGTATTTTTCGCTTTAAAAAAAATATTACTTGAATCATCTTTTTATCCTTCTTGAGAAAAATGAAAGACAACTCGTTAATTGGCATTTTAATCAAAAACTTTTTTCAAAATTGTATTAATTATTTCATTTCACAAGTAGAAGTATAAATGATACTCTTTAATATTTCGTTATTTTCATACCAACATAATAATAATAATAATAATAAATATGTCAAAAATATATTAAAACGATTTATTGAAATTATTAAATTTTATTTTTTTTAATTATTATTTATTTTTAAGAAAAATGATTCTCCAATGAAATCATTTTCTTTAATTAAAAATGATTATTTAGTGTATAATAAAGTTCTTTTAGACCCATATATTTATTTAAAATCATAAAATAACTTGATCCGATAAAATTATTAATCTTCATTCACGTGATTGTTAATGGATCTGTCAAGAGTTGGAACACATAAATGGCTTATAATCATTCCTATATTTTTCATGCTAATTTCTTGATATTTATTTCAACTTCATAAAGAGATATTTTAACTGTAACTTAATTAAAAGATGGAATTTATTACATGAATAGGTACCATAATTCCTTTATAATTGAATACTTATTCCAATCGATATGAAGACGGTATTCAGAACCTTGAGACTGATTTAAAAATTGACCAATTAATATTCGATTAAACTTCTACATTGGTCTGACCTAGTGGGAGTGTAAATAGAATACCAGGGTCAAGATAAATGTAGCAAGTTCACGGTTGAATACTTGAAAAGGTATTGTATTAAAATTCAGAAGTTAAACAATGATATCTGGTGAAACTTGTGGGTGTTTTACACCCTGTAGAATGTTGAAAAGAAGTTGAAGCATGTCATTGACCCTGACTAGGTATATTAATCTTCTTTATATGCACCTGACCTAGTGATATATTACTTAAGAAAATTCCCAGCATCTTTCGTCTAATGTCACTTAAAGAACGAAAAAGAAAAAAATCCTTTAAAGACTTCCTCATCTTTTTATCTCTATAAGACACAAATTACCTTCATTGGATCCTCGAACGTTTCTTACATAACAGTAAAATGTTTAAATCGTTAAAATATCTCAGAGTGAAATTAATTGACGCGTAAAATTGAATTTTAACCTTGTGATACAAGTAATATAGGAACACTATGATAATAAAAAGGAATAAAATGAAAAGTTTGTGTAGAATAAAAGGTTAAAGTATTCGAAAGTTTCAAGAGACGTTTACTTTTTTTGGTGTTTAGGTCAATGACCGATCCGTTACATAGAACTCGTCGATTCTTTGCCATTTATTGAGAGTATCAAGCATCGTCACGCGTATCTTGTAAATACCGTAAGACCAATACACTTTTTTACACTTTTTTCTCTGATTGCTGTAATGGTTATTAATACTCATTACCATTTTTTTACTTTCAAGTATTTAAATCACTTACTGACAAAAAAACAACACCGGAATCTTGAAATTAGCTAGAATTGTCATTTGTAAACATTATTTATATTTTTTAGCTTTTAATGATCAGCTTAACAGTTAGGAAACAAAAAAAAAACAATTTGTTTGCCACACTAATTTTAATTTTTTCTGTAATATATCAAAAAAGATCTCTTTCTTTTTTTACTCATTTTTAATCAGAATGTGATACTAATCAACTTAAATAGTCACAAATACTTCTATTCCTATATGTAATGTTTTATTTACAGAGATAATTACTTAGTAACAACAGTTATAATTTAAATAATATTATTTCACTGTTTTCATCATTGTTTTTTCAATTATTTCCTATGATATTTTCTAAAGAATAATATTACGGATTTATTATCAATAATATTAGTGAAAATTAGCAGTTATAACTCGAGTTATTGTATTGCTTAGTGGCTCATTAAATAAATAAATAATTGTCTAACAATAAAGTTATTGTGCTAACTCTCGACTCCTAAGTGCCGATAAATAAATAAATGGCTTACTATAATTAACAACTATAAGCTACCTGATGATAAATATGAATTATTAAGATAATTCAGTAATTAGTTATTGAGTATACATAGCTCATTAGACATGTGACGAGACGTACGTGTCATTAGGCATGAGTTGTTACGTGATAAAACTTATGGAAAAGGAAGGAATATATTGAAGAGAAAGACACCAATCTCTCTCATTCATCTATTCAACTTATTTTCACTATGATCTTTTATCATATTAATATGATCACAGATTGCGTGTAAAGTGATGTCTCGGGTCTATTGTGGAATGTTGATTTTTCATTTATTTTAAAAAAACTTTTTCAAACGCTAAAATGTCGACAAGCACGGAGATGTAATGTTTAGATGTATGCGCTGTGAGTTGCAATGGAATTCAGCGTGGAATTGGTATGAGACCGAGTACACGAGACTTGCATCCAAACTCTATTTATCGATTATGCACAGACTGATCAGTTGGTTTATTCCAAGAAAATGTTTTTCCACGTCACTTGTATGAATTTAAAACCAAATCACGCGTGGGAAATTCTACTCGTATTATATTCCTAAGCTTTTACATGGATATTTTTAGCTCTTAGACTAAAACGTTCTTTAACTAACTCATTCATTTAAATAACATTCATTAAATCTTTTCATTTTTTTTTCACAGCTCCACTACATGATGACGAAACTACTCAACTTGCAGAGTATGGAGGAGGTAATACTTCACTTATTTTTTTCATGAATTTTTTTTTTTTTTTGACTCTCAAGATGACTTTGCATTTCGTTAACAACATTAGACGAGCTGAATTGCATTGAATTTCAAGATTCTTTTGCAGTTTGAAAAATTTTATGTGATAATATTTCGATTAATTCTTTAATCAATATATTAAAGTGTTTAATTCGTTATTTAACGATTTAGCTTAAATTAAATAAATCATTTAAAAAAGAACAGATAAAGTTTAATTGATTTATTGATTGATTGATTGAAAAAGTAATTGATAGTTATTATCATGATATCATATCATCAATTTCAATATAAATCATCACGAAAGCAAAAGTGATAAATAAAATATTGATTTTCAGTGGGAACAGGATGTTATTACAATTTTCAATACTACGAAGAAGGTGGTAGGATATTGACAAACGAACCATGTCTCAACTGTACGTGTCACAATCGAATGCTTATGTGCTACCTCAGAGTGTGTCCATTTACAAAGGCAATAGGTCAAGATTGCAAGGTAGAAAAGCGACCCGACCAATGCTGCCCGGTCATTACTTGTCCTGAAGTACCTGTTCAATTGCTCACGTCTACAACTACATCACCCTCTGAATCTGATTCGACGCAACTTGGCTTCCCCGATAATTATGGCTGTAGTGTTAATAATAAATTCTATGCTGATGGTGCTCAGCTGCCAATTGATCCTAATAATCCCTGTGAGCTTTGCTATTGTATTAGGAATAGAACCACATGTGTCATGCAAGAGTGTACGTTAAAGGTCGCTGGATGCAAACCCGTATATCATCCTGGAATTTGCTGTCCTGTCAAATATAACTGTGGTATGTAGATTTCAAATTTCTCATGACGTTAAGTCCGTAATTAATACAAATAAATTAATAATATATTCTGTCTCAAATGATTATTATCTCAAAATAGATGGCATAAGTTTTAGATTTATAATCATTTCAATCATTATGATTTTCAGATTATGAAGAACCAACTGGTACAACGATCGAATCAACTCCAGGCTTAATAATGACAACAACAATGGCTCCAGGATTATTCGGACCACCAAAATGTTATCACAAAGGCAAATACTATGAAGACGGTCAACTCATTTACTCAACACAACCTTGCCAACATTGTTACTGCTTCCACGGAGATATTGCTTGTGCTGTTCAAGATTGTGGAACGCCGATGGAGACTCATGGAAAAAATTGTACTGCTGTTACACCACCAGAAGGCGAATGCTGCCCAATCACGTACAAATGCGGTAAGCAATCAGATGAACTCATCAATTGATGTTTAAATTGATTCAATTTGTTTAAGTGTAAAAAGCAAAAAATCATTCAATTGTTACAGAAAACGATAGTGATTCATCTGACGAACAACAGACTGTACAACAACCGGACGAGAACGAAATTATTGCAACGCAAGCTACATTGCCCGTGTTCGAGGATGAAGAACAGAAAGGTCAAAAACCTGAAGACCTTTTCCCTGGAGAAAAGAAAGGACAAAAACCTGAAATTATTTTCCCTGAAATAGAAAAGGAACAAAAGCCTGAAGAGATTTTCCCTGGAGAGGAAAAAGAACAAAAACCCGAAGAAGTTTTCCCAGGGGCAGATAACGTAATTCCAGAAATCCCTCAAGTTCCAGAAAGCGTAACATTTGAGTCTACTGAAGCATCTACCACTACTGGAACGATTAAGACTGAAACAGTGCCACCAAACGAGATATTAATAGAAACTAATGACGTTGAAGCCAAGGATGTTACAACAGTCACGCAAGAGCACGCAGTTACAGAAGGTTCAACGACGTCGGCTATTTCTGGAGAACAAGCTACAACGGAAATGCTAATGGAGAAATCAACTCAACTACCTGAATCATCAACAGTCATTGATGAAGAAGTGACAATGATGGTAGAGACTACTGGTCATGTAAGCTCAACTGATAAAATGTTCACTGAAAAGCCCTTAACTGGTATACCAGCTAGAAGTGAAGATCGAATCCCAATTGAAGAACAAGAAATGATGAAACCTGGTCAAGCTTCTACATTAACATCAATGACAGAAGAAAAAGTCACTGAAATTACACCTACGGAAGCGGTTGTTTCTGAGAAAGAAATCACTACAACGGGATTGTCAGAAAAAACAAGTACACCTGAGGTCAAAGTAGAAGAACATATGTCTACAACTGAAACCATCAAGGAAGATTTACCTGAAAAAGAAGAAGAAGGTCCAATAATTGAATCTGTTCCGGCTATAGATGAAACATCTGAATTGTCTAGTACAGTATCTGAAGAAACTGAAGAAGCTCAAAGTCAGACAACTGAAGGTTTTACTGCGGAAGAAGAGAGTAAACTTTCAACTGAAGAACCATCAGAAATGGCAACTACAACAGAAGAATCTATTCAAATAACTGAAAGTATTGCAAAGGAACCATCCATTGATATGCAAGGTCATATTGACAACTTAATGACAGAAAAACCAGAAGTCGTTATTCCTTCAACCGAACAACCATCTTCTGAAGTTCCAGCTGTGATCGAGGCAGAAGAAAAAGAGGGAGAAACTCAAGAAACAGAAAAACCAGAAAGTCCAAAGATTGAAATCCCTGAAGAACAGCCAGTAACTTCTACTACCGAAGCTGATATCAGTCAAAAGGAAGAAAAGATTACGACAAGTCAACAACCCATTGAAGCAGAAGAAAAAACAGAAACAATCCCTACAGATAGTTCTGTGGAGATGCCGGAAGAAGAATTACCAACTAAAGGTCTAGAAGTCAGTGGGGAACAAAGTTCAGAGGAAGTTACATCACCGGTTTCTAGTGAAGAGGAAAAAACTACTTCACAAGAAAACGTGTCAGCAGAAACTGAAGAGGCTACTACCGCAGGTGGTTCAATAGAACAATTCACGACCGCAAAATCAGTGACGGAGGATTTAAGTTTGGTTACAAGTAAAGAAGAATCAACGAGTGGAACGGAGGTAAAACAAACTGAAAAACCAGTTGAAGAAAAAGAAGCTTTACCTGAGGAAGTATCTACAGAAAGTCTTTCCCCAGAATTAACCACTGAAACTTCATTAATTAGTACTGAAGATAATCAAACTGAGATTGCAACATCCACTCCAGAGACTACTGAAGCTAAAAAAGAAGAAGAAAAAAAACAAAAAGAAGAAGAAATAAGTACAAGTTTACCAGAAGTAACTGAAGTCTCTTCAGAAATACCAGTCAGCCAAGAAGAAGGTACTGATCAACCAAAACCAGAAGAAGGTGATGTACTACAATCAACACAATCACCTAACTTAGAAGAAACTACAACAGAAAAGGAAATTTTAGAAAAATCAACAACCGAAGCTAAACTTGAGGAAAGTTCTGAGAAAGTAACTGAAGCGATAGAATCATCCTCCCCAGAACAATCAACTGAATCTATGACTGAAAGTGAATTAAGCCAAACACCTACAGAAGAACCAACTGTGGATAAAATTGCTGAAACGGAAACTCCCACAGTAAAAGTAGGCGAGCAAACTACAGAAGCGTCCAGTGAGCAAACTATTAGTGAAGAAGAATTAGAAAAAACGCCTTCGCCAACTACTCCTCAACAAGAGGAAGAAAAGGAAATAACAGTTACACAAGAGAAAGTTACGCCCACTACTATTATGATGGAGAAAGAAGAAGAAAAAGAAACTACTCTATTATTAAGTACAACAGAATCTGGAGTAAATGTTGAAGAAGAGCAAACAACTGAGCAACCTGAAAAAGTCACGCCCGGTATTGAATCTGAAGAAGAGAAGACTCAACAACCGACCGATACTGAAACGCCGACAGATATTTCAGTATCAACTGAATCTACTGTTTCAGAAAAAATTACAGAAATGGTAACTGAACATGAACCAACACAAGCAATAAGTGAAGTTACTGAAACACAACCCGCTGAAGAATCAAGCAAAATTCCTGAAACTACACTTGAATCTTCAACACTTGAGCCTGAAAAGGAAACTTCTGCTTCCGAAGAAACACCAACAGAATCTATCGAAGAATCAATAATAACTACACCTTCAGAAGAGAAAAAAGTTCCGGAAGTAACAACAGAAAAATTAACGACTGAATTTATCGAAGCCAGTGAAGAACCAACCAAAGAAGCGGAAATTAAACCTGAGGACACCTCCACTGAATTGCCTGTTACTCTTGAACAAGCTACGGAAAGCTCAGAAGCAACAATATCTACTGAAACTGTCAAAGAAGATAAATTTGAGTCAACAGATATGACAGAACAATCAACAGAACCGGGTAAAAAAGAGGAAGAAGAAAAACCAACTGAAGAATCGATAACTACAGAGGAAAAAGAAGCAGAAACCACTCCAGAAGTGAAAACATCTACTACAGAACTTCCTCAAACAGAGATGCATGAATTGATGACTCATGCAGTTGAAACTGGAATACCAGAAGAAACTACGGAAAAATTGGAACCATCTGTGACACCTGAAAAACCAGATATTGCTCCGTCAACAGAAGGTCCAGCTGAAATGACTGTATCTACTGAAAAAGTATTGGAAGAAACGACACCTGAAGAATATTATCCTCCAGGCATTCCAGGAGAAGGAAGCTGTCTTGTTGACGGTCAGACATTTATGAATAACTCGGCAATACCGCCTTCGAATCCTTGTCAATTAAGTTGTCGATGTGTTAGTAGCATTGTTCAATGTGAGCTTGTTGATTGTGCTCCACCTCCCAGTTTCACAGATTGTATGCCAATTCCCAGTGTAAGTGATTCATGTTGTCCGATCTATAGTTGTACTGACACTACGCCCACGGAAGGTGTAACTCTTGAAAGTGACAATCAAATGGCTGAGCATCATACAACTGGTTATGAACCAAGTCAAGAACAAGAAGCAAAAACTGAAGCACCTTCTGCAACTGAAGCACTTCCGGCAGAAACTCAAAAACCTGATGAAGTGAAAACGACTCCCACTGAAACTCCAGTTATTGTTAGTGAAGAACCATCTACATTAATGACTTCTACTACTGAAGAATCTGAATCTGTTGTTGTTGATACGACTGGTGAACCTAAAAAAGAGCCAGATGTTTCTGAAATGCCCTCCGAGAGTCCAATTATACCAACAGAAAAAGAAGCAGAAGAGGGTGTAAGTGAAGTTGGTCCACAAACAACATTAGCTCCAAGTGTAGTGGTGAAAGAAAGTAGTACTGAATCTATAAGTGAAATGTCTACGTTAACTTCGCTACCAGCGGAAAAGAAAGAAGAAACCCCTACTGAAGCTGAAGAACCTGTTGAACATTCAACTCCCGAGGCTGTTGATAATCGAATTAATGAACCAGAAGAAACCACAAGTGATAAAGAATCAACAATAACACCGAAAGAACAAGCTACAGAAGGACCAGTTGAATCCAGTTCTATAGTTAGTGAAACTGAGCAGTCTACAGAGAAGGTTGAAGAGCAAACTACCAAACAATCAATTGAACAAAGTTCTGTTGTAACGGAAGCTGAACAAGCAACAGAGAAACTTGATGAAACTCAGCCAACTGAAAAACTTGGAGAACAATCAACAGAACAACCAATAGAGTCAAGTTCTGTTTTAAGTGATACAGAAAAGCCTATAGAGTCAAGTTCTGTTGTAAGTGATACAGAAAAGCCTATAGAGTCAAGTTCTGTTTTAAGTGATACAGAAAAGCCTATAGAGTCAAGTTCTGTTGTAAGTGATACAGAAAAGCCTATAGAGTCAAGTTCTGTTTTAAGTGATACAGAAAAGCCTATAGAGTCAAGTTCTGTTTTAAGTGATACAGAAAAGCCTATAGAGTCAAGTTCTGTTTTAAGTGATACAGAAAAGCCTATAGAGTCAAGTTCTGTTGTAAGTGATACAGAAAAGTCTGTAGAAACAGTCGAAGAACAAACAACTGAAAAGGCCGAAGAACCAACAAGTGAGAAAATTGAAGAAACAGTTACAGAACAATCAACGGAACCAAGCTTTACAGAAGGTAAAGTTGAACAAACTGAAGAGCCTCAATTAACCGAAAGAGTTGATGTACAGCCAACTGAACAGTCAATTGAATTAAGCTCTATTGAATCTAGTTCTGTCATTAGTGAAACTGAACAATCTACAGAAAAAGTTGAAGAACCTTCAGAACAACCAACTGAACCGAGTCCCATTCCAGTAGAAATAACAACAAAATTATCAGAGGAATCAGCTACAGAGTCTGCTGTATCCTCAACATCAACAGAAATTCCAGACATGTCTGAACAAACTGAGAATGACCTTCTTTCATCAACGGGAGCTCAAACATCTCCTACAACTGCAGAGGAAATGCCCAAAGAGGAGGAAGAAATGGTTAGTTCACAGCCAATTGCTCCGACTGATGAAGAGAAAGTATTACCAACTGAAATTACACCAGCAATTACTGAGTCAGCTTCAATTACGGAAGCGGAGAAAGAAGGAGAAAAACAACCTGAAGAAGCAACCTTGAAGCCTGAAGAACCAGTTGAAGTAACAACTGCGGTAGTTGAAGATGAAAATAAAGTGAAAGTTGCTGAAACATCAACGACTGGTATTCCAGTAACCACTGATGAAGAATTTACTACAATGAAAGAAGAAGTTAGCGTAACTTCACAAGAGTTAACCACTGAAAGTGGTATTAGTTCACCTAGTGAAGAAGAGCAGACTGAAAAATTAATACCTTCAACTGTAGTCACGGAAGAATCATCAGAATCTACTAGTGAAATAAGCAAAGTTAGTCCTTCTGAAATTTCAACTGAACTACCCACATCATCAGATTTACCAGTTACACTAAAAGAAGAATTCACTCCCGAAAGCACTACTGTTCTATCTGAAAGTCCAGTTACAGAAGTCACAGAAGAAAAAGTATCTGAAGAACAGACAACTCCTTCAATCATCGAATCTACAAGTACCAGTGAATTACCGGTGACTTACGAGCAGAAAACAAGTGATGAAGAACCTCTTCAAACAACAATTTCGAGTGAAGATCAAACCGAAAAGATTACAGAGGCTGATATCTCTCAAAAACCAAGTGAAACAAGTACTCCTAGTCTTGAAGAAGTAACAGAAGAACATGTAACTACTGAAGAAAAAACCGAACTACCAATTGAATCAACTGAAACTTCTATCAGTGAAACATCAGAAGGAGTCGAAATTGGTATGACTAGTGTCGAAGAATCAGAAAGTCCGTTAACAACTAAGGTCACTCTTGAAGAAACTACAGAAAAATTACATACACTTAGTGAGGAAGAAAAACATGAAGATGAGCAAATTACACCTGAAATGCATACAACTGAAGCGGAACCATCAACAGAATTCGAGACGGCAAGCTCGAGTAGTGATCAAACACCAAGCGAAGTTACTGGCAATTACAGTATAGAAACAACTACTGTAGTTGCAGAAAAATCAACAGAAATATCATCGGAAATGAAACCTGAAGAAGAAAAATTAACCACGATCTCAGCCGAGACTGAGGGAGAAGCAGAACCGGAAGTTAAAGTAACCGAAGCTCCAGAATTAATGAAAGAGCATCCAGAGTCTACTACTGGTTTATCAGCCGCAACATCTGAAGAGGTAGTTACACCGGTAATTGAAGAAGAAAATAAGGAAAAAGAATCTACAACAAGTATTCAAGAATTATCGTCAATTGCGTCTTCTACAATCGCTCCAACGGCTGCGAGTGTTGACGAAGATAATTACACCACTCATGCAATTAGTACTGAGCAAGAAAAAGGTGAAGAAAGTACTGAAAAACACCCAGAAAAAGCAGCTGAGACACCAGAATATGTTTCTTCTACAGAATCAATTGAGCCAATCAGAACTGTAACTTCTACTGAAGAAATTCATGAAGAGATTAGCACTCAACCGTCAGTCCAATCTTCTGAAGCTCCCAGTGAAACTCCAGAAATATCAACTGAAACTCTTGAAACAACAAGTAAAGCTTCGGAAGCTTCAAGTGAATCTACTCTTCCAGAAGAAGCTGTAACATTAAAAAAACCAGTAGAAGAAATGGAGAAAGAAGCAGATGAACATGCAGTTAAACCTGAAGAACCAATTGATCAAATGATGATTAGTCTTCCATCATCACCCGAAGAACCTGAAGAAGATGTTCAACAGCATCAAGTACCAGAAATTCCATTTAAAGAACCACATGAAGACGATAGCCAACAGTCCATAAGTCCAGTTGAACATGACATTGGACAAGAGCATGTATCTGAGCCGGAATATCCTTCATCAAGCACAACATTAGCTCCGGAAGATGAAGAGCAAACGGTGACAGGTCAAGACAACCCTCACTTCCCTGTAAACGCCGGCAGTTATCTCACTCCAGATGAAGATTACGATGAAGATGACCAAGCGATTTATGGTCCTGGAACTTGCCGTTATGGAGGCAAAGTTTATGTGAGCGCACAACAAATTCCACGAGATGATCCTTGTGATTTCTGCTTCTGCTTTAGAAGCGATATTATTTGTTTACAACAAAGCTGTCCACCACCAATACCAGGCTGCCATGAAGAACCAATCAGTGGTTTCTGTTGTCCAAGATACGAGTGTCCAGTGTCAATGGCAACGTCACTTAATATCACGACGACGACTACAACCACAACCACAACCCTACCACCTCACTTCCTCTCGCATGCTTACAAAGGTGCGGCAAGACGAAGTGGATGTCAGATTAAAGGTCAAGCATACCGAGTTGGAGAAATAATTAAATCAGCATCTGGACCTTGCCTTAATTGCACGTAAGTTTTCTCCTTTTTTATTCATACAATTTAACTGAAACTATCTTATTAATTAAATCACTAATTAACGGATGATTAATCAACGAATAAACTTGAAAAATGATACTTTTTTAGTTGTGGAGGAGATGGTAACATGAAATGTGATCCACGAGTTTGTACTCCAGAGCCAATGATCCGGCGAATGATTGCAGCTTCTACTGCCAAAAGAAGGAGGAGATGAGCCGTTTATTCTAAATTAAATAAACTAATTATTGACGAAAATAAACTAAAACTGATGGAATAACATTCAACAGAAGAGAGTAAGAGAGAATATTGTGTGACATTACAATAATATGAACGAATGGGTAGTGATGTATAAAAGTGAATTAAAAAATTATTCTCCAATACTTACATACTTAGAATGCCCGTCGTGTAACACAGACACTTTGTGCATGATGATTTTAATAACTTAAGTGGCCAAAACATAAATACTTACATCATATTAAGGTATATTAACTAATAATTTACATATTACAATATCAGTAATACAATAGAACGGGAAAGGATTTTGAAAAAAATTTTTTTATCAAAATAATCGAATCATATATCGAGAATTTAATTGATGTGCATTCGTTTAGTGCCAAATAAAAAGTAAATACTGGCAAATATTAAAAATTAAATCATTAATTACTGATTAATTAATTAGAACGAAGGCGATTACTATATAAAAATTAGAATATTTACAATTGTATTTAATTGTGCCTTCGTTAGTGCCCGTACCAAAAGCACTACAAGCCCATTTTAATATAAACAATTAGTTATAAACTCACATCATACAGCATTTTTTGATAACAAGTGTGTAAAATTATTAGAAACGTCAATAATTATAATAATAATGATAATAATATTAATAACAGCATCATATCATTCGATATTACGTATAAACGCGGATGATATAGTGTATACAGAAAGAGAGAGAATGAGAGAGTGAGTGAATGTTCAATCGTGTGTACGAGGAGCAGTAAAAATAATATGAGATTCCAAATAAACAAAAAAATGTGAAATTAATTTGATGAAGTAATGAAGATTTAAAAAAGGTGATTGGAGTTTAATAAATTTTTTTAGTAAAAATGGAGCTATGAGTTGTGTTACATTCAGGGAATTTTTTTGTTAATTCTCTTGTCTACATGAACCTTGAAAGTCTTTTTTCATTTTGTCACTTAAAAGACTTTTAAAGTACAGAATTAGGCAATTAGGACACACAAGTTATGGCTCCAAAGTCAATAGTTGGCTTTCTCGCTTTTTTTATGTGTATGAATAGGAATGACATTATATATGAAAAGGTATTTTTTTTTTCATATGATTTTAATTGCTAAAAAATTGATAAAAATTTCAAGTAAGTGAAGTAATAATGAGAAATAAAACCTGAAGTGAATGGAATAAAAAAAGAGAACGCGCAACTTAACGCTCAAATTGCAGCTCGCACGGAGGACCGATAAAATGATAATTCGCTTCTCCGGCGAGCTGGCGTCATTATATATAAATATTATATAAATATGAAATATATACATTTTTACAATTCTTTATACTATTGTAATCTCAATTAATAACTAGATGATAAGGTTAAAAAGAAAAACCTGTATACCTGTACGAGATTAATGGAGAGAATGAACTTGGAAGCTTTTAATTTCGTCCATTTTTATATATAATAATAAAACATTTTTCTACCAAGTTTTCTCTCGCAATGATGATTTTATCATTATTTTATTATAATTATAATTAATTATTAATAAATGTTATTGTTTTAAGAAATAGAAGTGGCTACTTCATGATCAATAATTGATCTATGAGAGTATGCAATTACGTTTTCTCATTTTTATACAGCAATTTTTTAACTTTTCAATGTCAAAACTGAGAAAATAAAACGAACGATGTCTTGATAAAAATTTTTGTCTTTTATTTATTTGATTTATTAGACTATTATTACATGAAAATAATAGAAAAAAATATCAACTAATTATACAATTAATTTATTTATTACAAATATTATTTGTAAGTATTATTCATCAGATTTTAATTTTTTACTTTTTTTTGCTTCTTTTCTATCTTTAGTTACCTGCTCATCATGTAATCTTCTCTTTTTACGAAGCAACCAAATTTCTTTTGCCCTGTTCTCACGACCCTTCATCATACTTTTATAAAGATTCCTGTGCTTTTTCGGAATCATTTTTTCACGTAATCGATATTCTTGTTTTGCCTGTTTTTCTTTAGCTAATGGATCTTCCTCAGTAATTTTGCCTGCTTTTACTTTCATGTTCTTTCTTTTATCCAACCTTTCTTTTTCTTTATCATGTGAATCAACCACTTTTTCTTTCATAATTTTATTATTCTTTTTATTTTTTTTATCTTCAATGATCTCATCCTCTTCCTCACCATTATCTTCATCTTCATCATTTTTATCATCTTCATTTTCTTCTTCTTCCTCTTCATTCTCATCTTCAGATTCTTCATCTCTTTCTAAATCATCGAGTTTATATGAAGGATCCATCAGAGCTCTCTCTTCAGGAGGAATATAAACCTGATCCAACTGATTATTAAATGGCGATAAATGTGGTGGTAAAATAGCTCCCATTAAGTATTTTTCAACAGGTAATAATTCTCTAGCATTAACAGAGTCGAATATCCATTGAGGTTGAACGTAGTATCTTGAAATAAATTGTTTATCCATATTGGGTCTATCAACAATTTGATGAGTGATAGTTTCATCATTTTCATCAAAAGTTGCACCAATAAACATTAACTTATCCCAAGATACTGTGCCTCCAAAGCAACGAATAATAAATACAAGAGGTTCACGTGGAACTTCTCTATTAATGAAAAACTTTAATCCTTTGAATAGATTTTTTAATCGTTTAATTTTTTCTGCTTCTATACGAGCTTCTTCAATCTTATCAGCATCTGTTTCTTCTGAAAATTTATCCAAACTCATTTCCTCTTCTTCTATTTCTTGAGTTGAAGGATCTAGGGATATCAAGGGTACATTAAGTGCACTTATCCTTTCAGCAACATAAGCTTCTTCATCAACTAAATTGTTATCGTTATTAGACACGTGGTTAAATTTCGGAGGATAAAATAGATTCAATGAGTGATAAAGCCTAAAATTGACAAATCCTAGCATGACGATATAAAATTCAACAAACGTTGACATTAGTTTAAAGTCGACTTCAGCTTTGGATTGAGGTTCGAACGAAAAATGATGAGGAACAATCCATGTGATAGTTTGTCCTTTTAATTCTGCTTGATAATAATAACCTTTAATTGATATAAAAACTTTACGTAGAGCCTTAGCAGCTATAACTGCATGCATAAATTCAACCGTAAGTCTTCTGCACAGAAGTGATTGATCTCGAGGAATATGTGCCATTGACGGAAATGTTGAAAAGAGGAAACAAAGAGTTAGGCAGTCATCGAGATCTTTTAAAGCATCTATGAAGGTTGGATATCTTTCTTTTACAATGTGATCTAACTTTAATGTTGGATGATTATTTAAATAACGTTTCATTGCAGCAAAATCACGTAATGCTTTTGCCCTCCCTACTCTCCTGGCAAATATTTTATAATCACGCAGCTTCCATATTATTGGTTCATGCATCAGAAATTGGATATCCTTTATATGATAAAGTGTTTTGATACCAGATTTACCTTTCTGAGCACGTTTTCGATTTCGTGGTTCTCTTGGATAAATCCCTTTTAATATACATAATTTACGAAAATCGTTGAGTGATAATTGCAGTTTTTTCAGTGCTTGCTTTCGTGAGATAAACTGTGCTCCTTCTCCTGATTGATACTGCAATTAAAAAAAAACAATTATTGAGTAATTCAAGTATAATGAATTGTTTAAAAACAATACTCTATATAGAAGAAAACTTTCATTGCATTTACTTAAAAATTTATAGATTACTAAGTGTTAAAATAAATAAAATTGTAGAATAACTTAAAATAATTTAAAAAATAAATTAAAATAAAAACTTAAATATTAAGAAAGATTATAACCTACAAATTTATAATAAATTGAGACTTAAAAACAGGCTGAATAGAATCATTTATTTTACTAACCTTTTTCTTGCCTTTTACAGCCATTTTTTAAAGTTTATAATTTAATTCAAGTCTTTCTAATATTTTTATAACAATTAATTTAAATAATTCAGATTAACAAAAACACGTGTATATCAAACAGAACATGATGCACAAGTAGACTGACAAACTAAAGACATCTTCAAGTTTTGCAAAGAATTACAAAGTTTTCCAAGTTCTAAAAATGGATGTTAGATGGCTATAGTATACTGTAGTGGACTCAAATTATACAATCAAAATCATTAATACCGTCCAGTTTTTTTAAGGTTATACACGAGATTTCCCTATACTTTCCTGTACAAATTTCGTCGGCATCAATGACGCTGAGTGTACATATATTTGGAACAGTTTGTAGTTTCTGACTATCAAGGAATACTCCATTTTATAAATTTGCCTTTTTCATTGTGAATTAGAATAAAAAATATCCTCTGAAAGTCAGAAGAAAACAAAAAAAATTTGTTACAAACTCATGAAATATCTATAAACATTTAAGTATGGCTGATGTTGCTTTGGATGATATTATCAAGAAAAAATCAAAACCATCAGGCAAACCAACAATGAAAGGACGAGGCGGGTAAGTGTAGATTCAAACATTCTAATTACTCAGCTGATTTTTTATTTATCTTTGATATTATTTTTGTATACAAAAATATCTTAATCCAATAATAATTCTTTAAAAATGATTGATTACATTGCATATTTTCATTTCATGATACTTTAAAATATTTACCATATTCACCTCAACAACTGATGCTAATATTTTTCTAACTGATCATTATCTATGCATTTATAGAATCCGGAAGGGTCCTGGAAGGGGAGGAAGACTACAGCCTAATATGCCACCAAAAAATAATCGGAAAAACCAAATCATCACTGATGCAAGGCTTAAAATTATACAAAAAAATCGTGCTAAACTTACAGATGCTAGGGATAAGCTAGCTGAAATTGCAAAACAGAGTGATGCTCGGTTAAAACTCGAAAAACTTCGAGCTACAAGTCTTAAGAAAATAAACCCACCCTTCTCAGGGATTACGCGTAAAACCGGTCGCTCTGGTAGACTTACGTTGTCAACAAACAAAATAGCACCACTGATGTCAACGCATTTACCTGTGAGTAATTATACTGTACCTAATACAAGAGTTTCTAAATATCAAACATCATTTTCTGAACCTCATGGATATACAATGGACGATGTAGTGATGGATTATAGTAATGATGCTTTCATGATGGACGTACCTTTGAGACGTACAGTAAACAATGAATATGCACTTACACCACCACCACCTCCTCCAGTTTTTGGAATTAAGAATTCGTCGAGTTACGACTGGGTGAATCAAACAAGCAGCAATTCTTCTAGAAATTCACGAAAAATTGATCATGATCGACCTAGACAACTTAAAATTATTGATCGAGCTCCATTATCACAAAAAACAGACTCTACTTATCGGGACAGTTGGAGTTTTGGATCGAATTCACGTACCATTATTACTAATGATGATCATGATGAAAAGTATTATAATTCAAGGAGTTCTCGTGATGTTAGTGTAAAATCACGGTTAGATTCTTCACTGTCAAAAAGTCAACGTTCGGCAGATCCTGTAATGTCTAGACCTAAGACTACCTCTTTGTCGTCCTCATCACAACAATCAGGGTATAGAATTGTTGTCTCTAATCTACAAGCAAATGTTACACAAGAAGATATCAAAGAGTTGTTTGAAGATGTAGGAGAGCTTATTGTGTCAAGGCTGGTAAGGCCAGGAACTGCAGAAGTAATTTATAAAACAATGAAAGATGCTGCGAAAGCTGTTGAAACTTATCACAATCGACAACTTGATGGTCATCCAATGAAGTGCTTACTAGTTAATCCCAGACCGAAAAATAATCCTACAGCTCCTGCAGTTCGGTCCATTTCTGAGTAAGTGTTATTGGATACTTGAATGTTTTGATACTTTTACGTGATGATAATTTTACTAATATTTAATCATTTTCTCTACAGATCATCACGTAGAGGCACAAACTCAAGTTACGTGCAACCAAGTTTGGGCGCAGTGCATCGAGCACTGTTTGATGACTGTCACAATTAAATAAATCAATGAATCAAGTGTTGAACAATTTTTCGGTGTGAGTTAAATGTTTAATCGTCAGAATATAATACATTTTGAACATCAAACCTAAAAGACATTTAATTAAGATGTAATGAATACAAAAGTTTAACGGTTAATAAATAAAGAATCACACAATGATATTCTAATAGTTTGAGCATTTTTTTAATACGATAAAGATTTATTTACTCATACAAGTTCATCACAATGTAGTTATATCATCTATTGAAAATACAAAAGCTAATAATATGTACTATCATCTATATTGATTGAAATGTACTGAAAAAATACACATTGCTCATGGTCTACATAATAAAAATTGTTAGTGTGAATGTAAATGATAAATGAAGATGGATGTTTTTCATTCAATGGCACATGATTAATAGAATTTTAGTCAAATAGTTATAAATACTATAAATAATAATATTATTAGATAAAATTATTATAAACAATTGGATGATGAAAGTCAAAAAATGAAATCTAATTAAAAAAAGTTTTACTAAAAAAATAAACTTTTCATTGCATATAAATTATTATTCAGTATCTACGATTAAATTTGTTGGCTTTGGATTTATTTGGCGTACGAAGTGCCTCAGCATAAGACATTTCAAGTCGTCTCAGTTTTGCAACTTCCTCGGATGCACTGGTAGGCTTATAGTCCTTGTATTCAAATGAACTATTATGCTGATCACTGTTATAATTATGGGATCCGCTACTATATCTTTGATGTTTGCTAGGTTCTTTGTTCTTACTGGGGAAAATATGAATAGTATTGCCATTCCAATGTGTGCCTTCTTGTTCTGTAAATGTTAAAGGTCTATATCTTGTTCTTCTACCACCTGTTTTTGATTGTAAGAACTTGGGATTTGTCGTAGGAATAACATCTACTGCACTAGATGTTTCATTGCACAAGAATTTTTTATGATTATTTTTCTTAGCAGAATTTTTCTTTCGAACTTGAACTGATAAATAATCAAGATGATGGCGTCTTTGCTGAGGAGGATGTCGTACCGTAGAAACTGCAGTTGATTCTCCAGACTTGTCAGTTGTAGTTGATGTCCGTTCATCACCTGTTTTCTTCTCTGGCGTTGGAGTATGAACCCTAATGACCGGCTCTGACACAACAGATGATATAACAGAGGATAATACACTCTGGCTATCATCAGTTAGATCTCCCTGATCTTCTTGCTCTTCTTCGATCCTTTTGATTGGCTCTGTTGGTGTGTTATTTAACAGAGGATATTTTTCTCCTTCATCTTTTGCCTCTGCTGCTCGTTTTAGAACCTCAAATATTTCACTAAATAACTGTCGATATTCAGGTGTTTTCCGGAAACGACTTTCGAAAGGACTGTTGTCGTCATAAATACTAAATTTGCAATCTTCACCGTCAGCAATTGAACACAATAAAGAGCCAGGCCTTGCACCATCAGTCTGAGTTGATTTATTACTTGTCTCATCTGTGAAACCTGAGGATAAAGTTTCAGCTTCGGAAAAGTCAGTTGGTGTCATGGAACTAAGTTTCTTTTCATATCCAAATCGACCGTGAAAACCATTAATCGTTTTATGATTATTTTCTTGATCAGAAGGTGTATTTTGAAAAGTATTAAAATCTCCCGACATTTTTAATTCTTCTTGAAGTGACATGCATGGTGTTGGAGTAATAGATTTCTTACGTTGAGCGGGTTGTCTTTGGACCTCAAGAAGAGCTTCATATTTTTCATATAACATTCTGTAGGGGTTAGCGACAACTTCTCGTTCGTCAACGGTCTTTGAGTCATTATCTGTTTCCTGTGCACACAACCCAATAATATTTTAGTAATCAATTACAAAAATAATTGGAATAAAGGGATTGCCAGATTTATAGGATATCAAATAAACAAAAACCAATTACAATTTTTTGTACACAAAACATTTATTTAAAATCTTATAAATCTGGCTATAGACAATAAATTTATGTAAAATAAAATATTGGTATTTTGTAGACTAGAGAAACTAAAAATAGATAGCGTTTGATTTCATTGAAATACTTTAATTAAAATCGTAAAAATAATAATAATACTAGTTGGTGAAAACATATTAGAATAAATTGACAAAATAAGAAAAAATAAATTTATAAATATATGGCAAAAAATTGTTCTGTAAATAAATAAAATAAGATAATGTTTTATAATTTCTATCTTCTATTTGTACATGTTTAAGCTTATGAATTAATATTGTCGATAGATGTATAAAAAATAAAATTTAGTAAATAAATTAGCATTAAGTTACAGCCAACGGTCTTAGATATTATGTAAGGCTCATTTGGTATTGCGTACATGATTCCTTTCTCTCTCTTTTCCCCTTTTCTCCCTCCGGAATCCTCTATCGTGTATTTTTTATCTAACTTAACTGTTTCGTATTTAATTATAACGTGTAATGAGAAAAAAAATAAATTGTCATGTATAATTGCTGCATTGAACTATACAAGTCTCCTTAGTATATTATGTTTAATACTTTATCCAAAAAGATATTTTTTTCTTAACATTTTGGAAGGCATTATACTTCTAAAAATAAGCGATGGTAACTCGAGTGGTTTCAAAAAGAATCCTGATATATATTCGCGATTTATATAACTCAAAGTTTTAAAAAAACTATTTATTAATAACGGTATGTTCCACATGAATACGAGCGCATTCCATAATTGGTTAAGTAATGATTTATGGTTTTCAAGTGTAGTTAATTCGCTAGAGTGTGTAGATGTCGTGTCCTGAAGATAATAAAATTCAAATTATTAATAAAAAGTGAAGTTTTCCAAAATAAAAGAGTTAAAATAAGAAAAAATTTAGAAATAACAAAAAGAATTTTCTTTTCTACTTGCAATAACAAATGATAGAATTTGAGTTGATAAGTGTTGATAAAGTCATTCAATCTGCTGAGAGTATGCTTGAAATATTTACCATTGAGAAGTTTAGTTACAGTAAGTTTGATAGAATATTTACTTAACAAAAATAGAAATTTACCTCTAGTGATACTTCAAATTCTCTCTGATTATTCAGATAAGATTCAGCTAAGCTAAGATCATCATCCTCCTCAGCATCCATTATCATCATTGATGAAAGTTCATCTTGAGTGTGCGAATCATAACTGCGTAGACAGCGACCACATAATTTCCCTTCCCTACAACCAACCATAAATACAAGAATTATAAAAAAAAAAAAAAATTAATGGAATTTTATACTGCATTGGAATAACGGATTTTATTAACATACCGAACTTCTTCTAAAGTATTTATTTCATCTTGGAGATTCTTCATATCCTGGGCCTTAATACGCCATTCGTTAAGTTGATCTTCAAGAGCACGATTTTCTTTAAGAATATTTTCAAGTTGTTGACGCAAATCTGATATTGTTTTCTGCTCTCTCGCTCTTTGACTACGAGTTTCTTGAAGTTGACGTAAAAGTTTTGTTACTTCATCTTCGTCAGCATCATTCAATTTTTGTACACTTTCATCCGCAAGTATTATTGAAGACTTGGTAGGGCTTCTCACAGCTTTCTATAAAGACATTCCATTCATTTGTTTTACTTCAGCATTGGACTTCAAAAATTATTATGATTAAATTGATTGATAGTTTGAAGATAAAGTCAAATAAAAAATAAGTGATTATCACATTGAAAAATGACTTTCTCAGCTAATTTAAAGCTAAATTAAATTCACAGAAGCTAAAGATTGTTTTGAAAATTATAGTGTAGAAGTTGTATTTTAAATAAAGTTGAATAAAATGAGTTTAATTACCTGGATTATGCTGCCATCGTGCGAACTAGATCCCTTCCATGTTCCAACTGACTGCGTTTCGTTCCCATTAGATTGTCCATTCATATATTGCTGTTGTTGCTGACGTAAAAGATTGTCGTTTTGAACTTTTAACTCATCAATCTTTTTCTGAAGCTCCTCGCACTTTGCTTCAAGATTCTCGATTGTCTGACATTGACTGAATGGTAAAAAAAATAATTATCATTTTATTGCTTTCATCAAAATTTATTTTTAACTCAAGAGAATAGATTAAAAAGAAATGAGAAATTATACCTCTTTACGTGCTTTTTATGTGATGAATTTTCGACTTTGAGTCTATGATTTTCACGTTCCAAATCTTGGACCATTACTTCTAGTTGCTCATATATCTTAAGTCGGGAATCAGTTACTTCCCTCAGGGCGGCATTTTGTTTCTTCAAGTACTGAAACCAAACATAAAAAGAATACTTTAATCATGAGAATGATGAAGACAACGTACATGTCATGACTTGATTGTATTCTCGCCAAAGTCTGTAATTAATTTAAGTTCCTGTATGAAAGCTGTGTTATGTGGAATCTTCACGGTAATTCTTGAATTCAAGCTGCTTTCATGATATGACTTTACCAAAGTTTAAAGTTCATTTCTCACAAATTATGTTGATTATCAAATAATGTTATTAACTATCATAAAATAATTTATAATTCATATATAATATATGAATAAAAATAAAAAATTTTCAACAAAAAATTTTTTTTGCATTTATCTCTATGCCTCAAGGCCTCAGGGTAATGACTGGTTACATCCCCTATAAAAATTGCAGCAAAAACATAAATAATAATTGTAAATGTTTACCTCTATTTCTTGAGTTTGCTCCTCTATAGTAGTTTGGTGAGCTTTCAGACTGGTTTCAAGCTCTTTATTGCGTTCCAAAAGTGTTTTGCCGAGCTCTGCTGCTAGCTGAAGATCTGGAAAATAATTTTTTTTTTACTAACATATTTGTACAACTAAAAGAATAAATGTCTTGAATTTTTAACAATTTTTTTATTGAAATTCGTCTGAATGGCTACAAATCAGCGGAATAATTTTTTGCAACTCTTCATACCTTCAGGACCTTGAAGGCATGCTAATTCAATCGAATAATCCCAACAATCCAGAGAAGCAAGCTGAGTCGATGGTTCCCATACAATATCAACACTTGGGCCACTCATAATTTACACTTTTTTTCAAAAAAATTTTTATTTTAATGAAAAAGAAATAATAATTTTTTTTTGCGATTTATAAGAAGTTTTGTTACTGTTTTTATTCACAATGACATTAAAAACAACACTAAAAATAAAAGCAAGTCATCAGCAGAAAAACTCTGTGAACTCTGATGATGCTCAGAAACGAATGACTGGAAGAATTCAAGTTCCATTTACTACAACAAGCTGGTAAGAATTGCTGAGAACCTTCTCACTTGTGTCTCCATCAACCAACAAATCCCCACCTTTATATTTTCTGCAACTATTATGCTGGGCCCTTTCTCTTGCTAATCCCTACCACTGTTTTAAGACTTGCAAGCGCGTAGCCACCTCCTCTGTACCTTTGGATTCTACCGTGAATATTGAGGTATTTTTGGCGATATACCGTGAAAAATAAATGGTTTTATGTTGACAGATTTCTTTTTGGTTTAAGTTCCAAGAATAAATAATTTTGTTGCATTAAAATAAAAAAAAAATTTAACTGGATCGATTTGTTATCAAAATATTTCCGTCACCGTTTTGTATTTACGCGCGACATCATTCATACAACCGGTTTGAAAATACCATGTCTTTTTATGTTACGTAAATAATGAATGCTATATATGACAAACGACATTCTCGGATCATTATTCAAGTTATTGAGGAAGAAAAGTCGATATGCTGAATTTTACGAATTAAATGCATAAATCGCATGAACTGCTTCTGTAAAATGAAAGCTTAAATTTAAAATCTTTTTCATAATTTACATTATGTACATACATTTTAGAAGATTCCTTTTGAAAATTTTCACAAAATTTACGACCAATTTTTTTTAAACAGTTTTTAATGGGTTTGGCTGAAGTCCAATGACTAATTCTTAGCCAATCATTGAAACAAAACATTGTTTAAAAACGTGATGTTATTTAAATATGATGAAATTATTCAAATGAATTCCGTGAAAATTGATCTTCATTTTTATTCAAGTTGAACTTTATAAACAAATTAATTTCAGCACATGAAGTATAAATACTCTGATTAGATAATTTATAATAGATAGCTTATTTTACCTCGATAAAGGACGTTTTTTTAAACTGTAGACAATTCAATTACTTCGAAGCTGATGAAAAATAAGATTTCTAATAGAAGAATCATTTTTTCAAGTAGAAAAAATAGCAAATAAATGTCTAGATATTGGAGCATTTTGCAAGTATAGCTATATTATGATTAGTAGATATTACTATCGATTTATTTCCAGTAATAAGACTATTTTGCATTAAACCATCTATCAGATTTTCTTTACCAGTGCACTTTCACCTAGAAGTATCCGAGAGAGTCGTTTAGAACTATCTCCAATGCTGAAACTACTGACCCCAGATAATTGAAGCTACTTCACGCGCTTCAGGTCAGAATGATTGTCAGGTTGAAACTTTCTGGCATAATATTCAATCCATCCTAGATAGGCATTAATATAAAACATTCAATTTATAATTCAAATGGATATACAGAAGGATATAAATATAGCGATTGTAACAACTTCAAGTGGTAGAAAAATAGTGTGTGTAGCATTGTTAGTCACGTTCAAGCAACGCGGATGCAACTGTAGCGAGAACCAGGTCCTGTATGTCCTCGCGTGGGATAGAAAGCATAATTTATTAATCGAGAGAAGAAAAGAAATTTATACTGCTACCACGCAATTGATGCAGTGGTAGAAACAAGATATAAATTACATCTTAAAAAATTTGTTCAATCTCCAACAGGTGAAAATAAAATATGTATGTACAATTTGCATATTTTTTAAAAATTTATCTAACCATTTTAACTAACATCAGGTATAATATCAACAAAAACTCTAATCGTCCCTGCTATATAACTTTGCTGATTGCTTTAGATAACCACTAACTTTAAATCTCTTGCATTACCTTCAACTTGAACCTTAGACTTCCTGTTTGGAATGTCTGAATCTCGGAATCAGACAGATTATCAGATAATCAAATATCTATTTGCCTCTTACTTAAATCCATCATTTTCTGCTGAAGATTATCTCTCCTAGACAGACGTACAACATAGGATTTATCCGAGATTTTAAGTTAAATTTCATGGGTAATTATTTTCTTTGAAAACATTACATTGTGTTACTTTATTTTCTCTTACCCTACTATCGATAAATAAACAGATAAATACTAGCAATTGCTAAAAGCTTACTTTTCTAAGTAAATGCATTTTAAATTGTAAAAAAATATTTCAACTATTTTTAATAGATTATAACAAATAGATAATTAATACCTTATCATTACTCAAGTGTTTAATAGTTTTTTTATGGCTCCAACCATAAAATGGTCAGTGCAATACACTTTTATGAATTTCATTGTTATCATGTCTGACTAATATTGCTTTAAAGAACCAAAAATAAACCAATAGACGACTGATATTGTAGATATTGAAACTCATTAAAAATTCATGTCTGTTTTATTTTATCTTTCATCTAAAAAAAATCTCAATAGGCTCTTTACAATAACAATAGCAGTGTGAGAAAGAATATTTTACGGATTCTATAACTATCTTTTAACGACCTCAAATTAACCGTTTAACTGTAAATTACTATCCCAGTCATCTGATTTTAACTAATTAATTTTATTCTTTTATGCAAATGTCATAATTTATTGGTATCACTTTTAAAAGTGATAATGAAGCTATAAGTTGACATGAATCATTGCTTTTACTGTAATAAAGTTTTTTTTTTTTTTTACTTATTATTTATGCATTTAACACGTTTTACTTCAATATGATGAAGTGATATTTATTCATATTCCATATTTTCTAATAAACGTTATTTCCTCAGCATAAAATTATGTAAATTATATGCAGTAATATGATTGAACAGAAATATTCAATATTGCAGTAAGAATGTAATAAGGAAGGCTTAAAAGATTACTACCAATTTTTTTTAATCATTTACAATTAGTGAATAGTCTATAAGCTATATGGAGTAATCATTATCATTAATTAGATTATAAATATTATTAATCAATGCGAATTGAATAACTTGATTTTTTTATTATTTTCTATATACAGATACTTTCATTGAAATACTTGGTAATTATTTATACATTTTATTATACTCTTGATGTAGAATTTCAACTTATTTTTCTTATAATTATTTTGTTTCATTCAATTACGCACAATTGACGAGAAATTTTTGTAAAACAGGAAAAATTCTGATGAATTTATTATCATAATTATTGATAAAAATATAAATTATATGAGAACTGGAAGAAATTTTATTTTAATTTTACTTTTCATGGAGTACAAAACTTTTGTATTTAGAAATAAAACAATAAAATAAATTAATAATTATTACTTTTCATAATGTTTATTATTTTTATATAAATATAAAAGGTCAATTTAAACAGCAATCAATGTGTCCATTATTTCTTTAATTTCACAACCTTTTTTTAATAGTTTAGAAACGTAATCAGCTTAATAAAAAAAGTGGTGGTAATAGAAAATTTTAGTACAAATGTTAATTTACTTTGATACTTAGTTGTTATATAAACTATTTAAATTGTGAAAATGTTTGTTTTTCAGGTATGAAACATATCATCCATCTTTCAGACATGACAAATAAACCATAAGCTATCAAGTAATAATAATTATCAGTATATGCATAGTATAAAATGAATTAAATTAATTGCTAGTAATTTTCTAGTTACTTTCAACGAAATACTATATAACTATCTATTTTGCAGCATCGTTAGCATACAATGTAAATTATGCTAATTTTCTATTCAAGTTTTGAACACATTTGAATTATCTTATCAAAGTTGATATAAAATTATTATTAAATATGTCTTAACGTCAACATTATTAATCCAATTATTTTTAATAATCCAATCTTTAAAAAAAGTTTTCAATAGTTATTAATCGCATTGTTCAACGATCATCTATCAAACATCAAAGTATTATAACTGTCATTAATAAAGTACAGAATAGAAAATTCTCATGAAAAGTCCAATGAAAAGTGAAGTATTACATAAAATTCAAATGAAGATTTTTAAATAACAGACTAAATCATTTTTTGTAGATAGATTTTATAAGTATAATTCATGCCTTCTCTAAAGTTATTATGAGAAACATTCAAATGTCTTAAGGTGAAGAGTGTCAGGAAAGTTGGAGTCATAGATAAAAATCCATTTATTGCCTTCTATTGTTGAGAATAAAAAAATATAATAAAATTCTAAGACACTAAATCAAATTTCATTCATAACACAAAGCTTGAGTTAAAATTTTCTCACCGATCAGTTAATGTGTTTTATATTATTTCTTTCAGAAAATTTAATGTTTTAATCAATATTATTTCATAGCTAATCATCAAGCATTAATGCTGAAGAACATTCATAAACTTGATAGAAATAGTTAGTAAATTAAGGCGTTGATTGAAGTAATTTCATAAACATAGCTCTTAATATGTATTAATCGCATGTCCATAGGTCGTAATTGGTGTATAGTAAAATTAGAGAAATCGTCGTTCTCTGTCCAGAGAAGATAGAAATTATGCATTAATCGTATAATATAGAGACTATTTTACTAGATACCCACTTTTACCATCAACTAAGTACTGACGTGAATAAAAATTTTTGCTTAAAATAAAGATATTTGTAAAAATAAATACCACTTCATGTATTTGAAAAAACGTTCATATTACCTACATGATAAAAAAACAACACCGTGTTTTAACGGATAATTGA